TAATACTTTTTATTTGATGTTTATAACCTTAATTTTTTAATCAAAATCCTTTGCAAAGTGTAGATATTGTCATACTATATTACCCCAAACATTTGCCTAAGGACTTTCTTCAGTGAGGGAAAAATAGTGAAATTGAGTGACAGAGAAAATACACTTAACCCAGTAGACTGAAGAATAATTATAATTATTATTTATCTTTTAAAATATCTTTAAAATTTATCTTTTAAAAATCAAACTATGTGTGTATATATCTATATATCTATACACATATCTATCTATATATTTATCTATCTATATCACCCTGAAATCTTATTTTACAAATTCTTGGCAAAATAGCCACCTAGAGGAAAAAAACAAAGAAAAAACAGAATAGAAGAAAATATACCTGAAATTGGCTAGCAAAAATAAGTTAATGGATCAAGTTGCAAAGTTACTGTTTCCTTCATGATCCTATGATTTTTTAGAGAATGTGTATATTACATTTCATAATAGATATGCTTATGAATAATATAGATAAATAAAATTTTATGGATTGAACCATGATTTTTCAATGAATTTACTTCATAGTTTGAGGTATCATATATCTGGTTTTGGGGTGATATTCATTTATCTGTGTCTTTTAACACTCTGCTTTTCGGTTTTCTACCAAAAATTTACTTCCAAAGACTCTATGTGAAATAATTTTATGTGAATAATGCCTAAATACATTTCTGGGAGCTCCTACTTAAAGGGAGCCTGTAATGAATCACATTATGATGTGAATAATGCCCATTTATCTATTCTATGAGATCAGTTCAGGTTTCCAGAGATTGACATTTTAAAGTAAAGTAAAGCATTTTAAAGTATTTCATTGGAAAGAGCAATTCAGTACATAACCTTATACCATAAAATATACTCAGACATATTGTGAAGACACAAAGGTATAACTCTGGTATTTTACTACATCATTGTGAAACTGTCTTGCCATTTTTTAGAGATAGGTGAAGCAAGATATATGTGAATGTTTTGCATGTTATATTGAAATGACTGATTTATGTGTTTGCCTACACGGGAACACCATGGGGTGTAATATCCTCAGTGATAAACTTTATACTGTGTTATTCATCTTTGCCTTCCTACCATACAGTACAGTGACTTGAACTGAGGTGAAGCTGTAGCAAATGTTTATTGAACTGCAGCAGCTCTGTATGATTAAATAAGGATAAATTAGGCATGAGGTATTCCAAACTATGGGTTATTAAATACATGTATCACTGGTATCATTAATACAGATATCCCTCATTCGAGTTCATGTTTAAATATTCCATTTTCTCTGCGGGTCACAATAGTTTAATGTTCAGAAAATAATTTGGAGATTTCACATACTGATGGCAATCTTTTCAAATGTTTTTACTCAGTTCTTTGCTCTAGTAAATAGGGTCTATTACGCACAATTTTGATATTTTTAGTAGCTCCAGATTTAACAGTTTTAATCATCATCTTCCCCACAATTATTACTTATTTCCTCCCAGTAGGTAAAGATATCAGAGATGAGACTGTAAACAGACTATCTAAAGATAATGCTGTTGTTTTTATGAAATCTATGATAAAGAATTTCCCTTGGTTATTAATTCTAAAAGTTGCATTTCTACTATAGAAAACTTAATTAGAAGGCTAAGTTCCACATGTGATTTTCTGTAGAATGATTATATTCTTTAAAATCACAGTTAATACTGTCTTTTAATTTTTTTGTTTGTTTTGTTTTTTTGTTTGTTTTTGTGGTACGCGGGCCTCTCACTGTTGTGGCCTCTCCCGTTGCGGAGCACAGGCTTCGGACGCGCAGGCTCAGCGGCCATGGCTCACGGGCCCAGCCGCTCCGCGGCATGTGGGATCTTCCCGGACCGGGGCGCGAACTCGTGTCCCCTGCATTGGCAGGCGGACTCTCAACCACTGCACTACCAGGGAAGCCCTGTCTTTTAATTTTATTAAATGCAATATTTTACCACTTATGCTGTTAATTTCTCTCTACTGTTTCTCAAGTGATACTACTTTTTTAAATGTAGCTTACAGTTATGTGGGTTTTTTTTTTTTTCTTTAACCGTTTGAAGGACCTTTTTTTACTCTTTGGAGGCCCTTTCTACAATTTCTTGACTTATAAGGCAAAAACAATGAAATGAAGTTAACAACAAAAAAACCTTAAATATAATGTGTTTATATATGTGTGTATGCTTTTGGTTAGTTTTGCATTCGTTTTGTAAGATAAGCAAAGTTTGTGCAAGTTAGTGGGTCTACTGTTTTTCTCTTAAATGAAATTAGCTACTCAACTCCTAGCTTCAAAAGATAAATGATACCTGCATCATCAGTCACAGATGGATTTGCAATTTGGGATAAATTTGAAGGATTGTCTTGTTTAAGTGTGGCTTTCAGCTGCATATTGTAGCATGCAAAATTTATCAGAGAACATCCAGGAAGAAAGTTTCTTTCTTTCTCCCTGCCTTTCACTCCTGTTTGATTCATATCTGCATGTCCAACAGCTAACAGTACCAATCAAATACACAGTGTTCAATAAATATTTGCTCATTCAACCAACATGTTACAGAAAATGGATTTGGATGTGTTATCTTACCTTTTATTTTCATTGTTGAAAATACTTTAGGTGATGTAGATGAACAAATTTGTCAAATTATCAAGGGTTTTCAGTTTTGTTTTCATTTTAAGACAGATGATAATTAAAGAGCGAGACAATCAAATATAAGGCCAGTTAATATGACACAGTGAAAGTAAATTTAATGTGTTTAAATTTAGTTAATGCTATATAGTTAAGTCTGTGAGCATTTCAGCGTTTGTGTATCTTCAATATTCTTTGTCCCCTTTTTTTCTCTTAAAGAAGGGCTACACTGCACATAACCAAAAAGTTAAGCTTTTTCAGCTTTGTCTTTAAAAACAATTTAAGCTTTTAATGTTCCAGTATTTTTCATTTAGCTAAAAGTCATTATTTACTCTTGTTTGCAGTGCAAAATTATAAAAGATTTCATGAGAGTAATAGCTGCCTGCATATGTTATTCTGGAAATCTCATTTTTCTCAAAGGGTATTTGTTTGATTTGTAACCTAGACATTATTAGAAATTTTATATTATAATTAAAATATGGTACTTAAGGGACTTCCCTGGTGGTGCAGTGGTTAAGAATCTGCCTGCCAATGCAGGGGACACGAGTTCAAGCCCTGGTCCAGGAAGATCCCACATGCCGTGGAGCAACTAAGCCCGTTTGCCACAACTACTGAGCCTGCGCTCTAGAGCCTGCGAGCCACAATTACTGAGCCCATGTGCCACAACTACTGAAGCCCACGCGCCTAGAGCCCGTGCTCCGCAGCAAGAGAAGCCACCTCAGTGAGAAGCCCGCGCACCGCAATGAAGAGTAGCCCCCGCTTGCCGTAATTAGAGAAAGCCCACGTGCATCAACAAAGACCCAACGCAGCCAAAAATAAATAACTTTATAACAACACCAAAAAAAAAATCAGAAAAGTATTTTAAAAATAAATAAAATGTGGTACTTAAATACAGGGAATACTTTTCATAATCCTGTCCATGCACTAAAGTAAATTAATCTATACTTGGCACTTCACAAATATTTTAAAATTTAATCGTCTTAAGAACACTGTAAATGTTTTATTCCAATATTACAAATGAAAAAGTGAAGTTCAGAATATTTAAGTAGCTTTCCCAACATATTGCTTTTGATAAGTGGCAGAGCCAGGATTTAAATAAAAATATGCCACATTGGAAAGCCTTTACCTTTTGCTGAAATATGTACTACTTTCCTCATAGGGCCTCCTATTGCTTCCATTTAATTCCAAGGTCATTTATTGAGCTTCTGTTATGTACAAAATATGACAGTCTGGGTATTGACTTTTGTCTGTGGGCTTTATGACACCTCAGATGATTTAATTCAACCCAAGTCTCTCTTTAAAGACATTCTGTATTTATACACGTGACTGGTCAAAAAAATGCAAGCTATATTTCCTGTGATTTTTTTTTTTCCTTTCATGTACTTCTAATTTTTTTTATAGAATTGCTCCCTATTCTTAGACCAATATCCCATATTAACGTTTAGTCTGAAAATTTCCTTCATTAACCATAATTATTTGCCTCTTTTTCTTGTTTGGGCATCAACCAAGAGGTGCTTTGGAGAATATCAGGTCAATAAATCAATAGAATCCATAAATGTGAGGGCCATAAAGAAAATTAGAAATTAGAAATCATGAGTCCTCATCTTGAAAAGAATGTGTGGAGGAAGGATGCTTAGAAATTAAATGGATTTCTGAGAATCGGGCATCTGATAAGGAGCCCAGACGTTAAGACTCTCAGGCTTTCATTGTATATTTCTGCAATTCCTTTAGCCAGCGTTCAGTACTGTCTGCCCATTTTTACTTGACTTCTTTCACTTCTACAATTGTTTATTTTGTTTTCTGTATTTGACTACTTATCCCCCCTACAGACACAAACTCTTTGAAGTCAAGGTTTAACTTCATCAAGAAGTCCTGTTATGTTTTTGAAGGGTCTCATGGAATATTTCATAATTTAAACAAGATATTGGGTGCTTCTAAAGAGTATTAACAAGCGAAAAAGCTATATACTAGCTTTCTGCGGTCCTAGAAAAATGCTGTTAAAATCAGTCCATGATTTTTTTCTGATGAGATCAGACAGCTTGTATAAAGTCTTAACTCTGTGTATAAAGCTATCAAACTCTTTGAAAAGAGACTACCACAAAAAAAGAAAATACAAATCAGCCAAAGAAAAAAGAAAAATAATTTTCTTAGTTGATCTTTGAAATGCATAATGCCTTGTTTTCGTATTCACAACAGTATTGGGAGTTGATTTAGCATTAAGATCAGTGACAAAATAACTCGATTAATACTTTCTACTCCAATATCATTCTAAAATAAGAAAATATATCTGTCTCATTTGATGACAGGAAGGATAATCAATAATCGGTGAGAGCATTTAGTGGTCAGATAAACATTAACTGTATGAATGAAGAAATTAAAAATATTTATTACTATAGGTGATCTACAGTTTTATACTTTACAGTTCAACTAAAATAACATTTGCCAAAGCCAAACGTATGACATTTTAAATACAGACGTTTACATATAATGCAACACACATCTAAAAGTAAATATTTCCCGATAGTTAGAGACATACATACTTATTAGCATCATCATCTTTGAATAATATAGTATTAAATGATTCAGTGAGATTTGGAATAAGAACATGATCCATGGAGGAGCACTATCTGAATATGAGCCAGTGTGGCATGTGCCTGAGTTTCCAGGGCCTTGGACTCCTTGCCACTTTATTTCCTCTCATTCCAAAAATAAAGGTTCATGACTCTGGGGATAAACCTCCTCTGGTCATCATTCAGATGACTCACTGCCCACTCTTTTAGCGGAAAGTTTTTCTCACAGATGAGAAGATGCTCCACTCAGTCCCAACCTGGAGCTATTGCAGCATCTGGTCATGTTTCTTTGACCAGCAGAAGTGGTTCCGTATAACTGAGTAAGTCCATGCTCGCTTAGGAATGAGCACAAATGTAGATCCCATTCTTGGTTATCAACCTAGGTTCTGTATGACCTGGAAGTTCTGTAGAGATGAATGTGTCCTCCCAAAAGTTCCTGTTGCTGGCTTATAACTAGAAGTGATATATTGCTATTCTTGAGCCAGGGTTCTATACTCTCTATAACTGAACCAGAGAAAAGCTTCATCATTATAGAAAATGTTGTCCAAATACATGGCTATCTGAGCATCATATAGTTTACATCTAGAAAAAAAAGTCCAAACTAGATATTTGGCCAAACTGTTGAAATTTTGCAAAAGTTTAACCTTTACAATCTTATACAACATAATTATTACTTCTTTTCTGCCTTTTAATTAAGCAATAAGTTTTTCTGACTGAATGAAATGAAGTCAGATGGAAGCTTTTACAGAATATCTTGGCAGATAGAGTATATATTGTCAGAAAAAAAATTTTGGTTTGCATTTTTTAAATCATTTCGAATGATGCACTTTATTTTAAAAGACTTAACCAATTTGTTAACATAAACACGCTATATCTTAGAAGCAGATATACAAGCTTGCCAGCAAAATGAGCAAAATTAATTTTCTTTATAACCAAATGGCAACATCTGACTTTACATCCTGGAATTCATTGTAGGTAAATGAACGTGATCGTCTTCTAAGATTTGTTGGTCTCTGAGGTCTTCCTTCTATCAAGTCTAAATAGATGTCAGATTTCAGAAAACGTGTGTAACTGTCTTGCTCCATGAGCTGATACACTCTGCTTTGTGCAGCATCAAAACTGTGGAGGGTGGGTTGGGTGATGCTCCTGGTGATGATTTCTTTGGTGTGAAAATCAAGGTTAACCTGGATAATAAAAACAATAATAAAAGTGTAATTATCGTCAATCTACTTAAGTAAACACCTTTGAGAAACAGAAGTAAAGGACTGACTCCACGTTGGAGGGGGCATACGGCACTCGGATGCTTGGTGCTTTTCCTGTTGTGGGTCCAGGGATCCAGTGATTCACTCTGGGCTGGCATGTTACCTGGCTCTTCTCTCCCTTTGCACCCGGTCCTTATCAGTCTCTGCCAGTGTAGGATCATGGAACAATGTAATGTTAGGTGTCCTAGAGATCATTAGATTCAACTCATTTTCAAAGTGAAAACTAAACTTTGTAGAAATTCAGTTATTTTGAGTGAGGGCAAGCAGTGTGTTTGGGCCATATTTGGGATTTCAATGTGAGGCTTTTGCTATATCCCAGTGCTCTTTTCATTATATTATGATGTTTTCCTACAAGCAAACGTGTGCTGAAAATGCCTATATGCATATATACGTGTGTGTGTATATATATATAAAGATATAAAATCCTTTAACGCTTTTTATCAAAACATTGATGATATATTCGGCTTTGATGGTGCTCAGTTTTCAGTTTTCACGTAGGTTTCTTTTCCTTCGTGGGTAACACCACATGACCAGCTGCCTTTGTTTACTTGCGTGTAAGGGGAAGACAGGATAATACGTTGAAACACAAAACAGATTGAGACATACTGAAACAAGGAAAATAACTGTCATTTCATGTGCGACAGTATCTACATAAGCAGTGCTACCTCGTGGACAGCAACAATTTATAGTCAAACAGAACTCTTAACAGTGACAGATTATCAGTTCTACACTTCAGTGAAAAGACTATTTATTGAGCATGTACTAAAAATACAGAAACTGTAATTCATATTCAAGGATAGTGAAGTAATATTTGCTGGTTTAATAGCCATTTTAGCAGTTGTTTCATACAGTTACCTCATACTGAGCTTGCAGTAAAAAAAAAAATCACAATTGTTTTTTCACTTGAACCGTTGCCAAATTAGGTTTTCCTCATCTTTCTATTATGAAATTTTCTTTTAGTCCATTTTAATGTGTAGGGGTAATAATTACAGAGCAAATGAAACTTTGTACAGATAGATGAGCTAACATTAAAATAGTACATAATACAAACCTCTTGATTTCTCTTACCTTCATCACGTACAAAAGTCTTTAGTTTCTACAAGCAGTTACTTGTGCTAAGGTGATAAACATGATAAATGAATGAATCTAAATGTTGCAATTAATTGTGTTCACTCTTAGTCTAGAATAAAATACCCCGAGGAGTAACTTCAGTTATACCTTTCCTTCCATAGCAATATCTTATAATGCATTCTGTTTGTAAATAGAAATCTATATACAGGCAGACCTCGGAGATATTGCGGGTTCCCTTCCAGACCACCTCAGTAAAGGGGATATCGCAATAAAGTGAGTCACACAAATTTTTTGGTTTCCCAGTGCATAAAAATGTTATGTTTACATGATAATCCATTAAGTGTGTGATAGCATTATGACTAAAAAAACAACATACATCCCTTAATTAAAAAATACTTCATTGCGGAAAAAGGCTAATTATCATCTGAGCCTTCAATGAGTCACAGTAGAAACATCAAAGATCACTGATCACAGATCACCATAGCAAGAATAATAATAATGGAAAAAGTAAGAATTATTGTGAGAACTACCTAAATGTTACATAGAGATATGAAGTGAACCAATGCTGTTGGAAAAATGGCACCGATAGACTTGTTCAAGGCAGGGCTGTCACAAACCTTCAATTTGTAAGAAACAAAATATATGTGAAGTGCAACAAAGTGAAGGGAATAACATGAGGCATGCTTGTAAATAACCACCAGTTTTGTTTCAACAAAATTCTGACCTTTCTGTTAGAATGTATGGCAGTACCGATTTGATGAAGACATATTCTCTCAAAAAATTTTTAAACAGATGTAAATTTTTACAATCATCTTTACCTCTTGTGGAGCATCATTCTGTATAAATTTCTCATATATTGCTTTTGCTTTATGAATTATTTGTTGAGGGTCTTTGCTTTTCTTGAAATCTTCACAGGCTATCCAAAATTCAATGTTTTCCTCACTGAATTCAGTTTTAAGAAATCTGGTAAAAGTCTCCAGTCCATCTACCAAGGAAAGAAGTGATATATTTTAACTAAAAAATATTGATACTGAGAATATATGCTACTTGATATTGAAGTACAACTGTGAGTGTTAGCAGAAGAAGCGTCTTCCCTGTAATTCAGGGCAGTAGCACACTTCTTGCTCATGAGGAACCATGTTAACAATTAGCTGAAATCTTCACAACTATGAAAGGTAAGTACCAATGAGGCTGGTATCATACTTAGACCTGAGTAACAGGGACCTTAAATCTGGACCTCACTTTGGGTCTCTCTCAGCTGTGCCTTTCCTTGGGGTGAGTGTCATAGGGTTATTCTACAGAGCCAAAGAGCCATTCCAGCTGGAGATCATCTCTCAACTTCTAGACCATGCTTCTTGGACTCAGGACCCTGAAATTCCCTTTAAAAGGCTTTGTGGGGCTTCCCTCGTGGCACAGTGGTTGAGAATCTGCCTGCTAATGCAGGGGACACGGGTTCGAGCCCTGGTCTGGGAGGATCCCACATGCCATGGAGCAACTAGGCCTGTGAACCACAACTACTGAGCCTGCGCGTCTGGAGCCTGTGCTCCGCAACAAGAGAGGCTGCAATAGTGAGAGGCCTGTGCACCGCGATGAAGAGTGGCCCCTGCTTGCCACAACTAGAGAAAGCCCTCGCACAGAAACAAAGACCCAACACAGCAAGAATAAATTAATTAATTAATAAACTCCTACCCCCAACATCTTCAAAGGAAAAAAAAAAAGGCTTTGTGTTTCCAGGATTGGCACAGTCCTCTTCCCCAGATACATCCACCAAAGGCACCTGTCTCAGTGGAATGCACACCCCAAGGCTTGAGTGTGGACAGGACTTGAATTTGCACGCTGGAGTGTCCACCGAAATGTGCAAAGAGGCCTCTCACAGTGTGGAACCAAACCATGGGTGGAAAGTGAAGGGAGGTGGGCTATGCTTATAGGGTAGAACTGGGAAGAGTCTGAGAATTTTATATTCAAACGTAATCTACCATGTGTCACAATAGAAGGATAAAATGGTTTTTTTTGTTTTGTTTTTTGGTTTTTTTTTTTGCGGTATGCGGGCCTCTCACTGTTGTGGCCTCTCCCATTGTGGAGCACAGGCTCCGGACGCGCAGGCTCAGCGGCCATGGCTCACGGGCCCAGCCGCTCCGTGGCATGTGGGATCTTCCCGGACCAGGGCACGAACCCGTGTCCCCTGCATTGGCAGGCGGACTCTCAACCACTGCGCCACCAGGGAAGCCCAAAATGTCTATTTTTAACAGTTTATTAGCCTGATCTGTAACTCTTAAGCATTTAGAAATATAGTATGGGGCCTCCATTTTTACTTTTTTTCTGAGGCCCATGAATGTTAGGGGCAGGTATCAAGTCTTATGGAAGACTGCCAGGGTTCAAGTTCTTGTTCAGCTAGTTACTATGTGGTCCTGAGTGAGTTACTTTTCCTTTCTGTGTCTCAGTTTCTCAATATTTAAAATTAATGATAAAACCGACCCGATAGAGCTGTTTAGAGAATTAAATGTGCCAAAATGTGCAGGACGCTTAAAACAGAAACTGGCGTATAGCAAGTTCTCTATCTGGGTTTTGATGGAGGGTGTGATGGTTATGATGATGTTGATGATTTTGATGACTATCGTTTTTTTTAGGCTCAGTTAGGTAAAGTTTCATAGCTAAAACTGTGGCAGACTCAGGATTCAACACTAAGACAATCTGACTTTAATACTAGGGTTCTTTCAACTATTTATGATATTCTACTTTTTTGGGCTAATAGGTTTTTGTTTTTTTTTTATTTATTTTTGGTCGTGTTGGGTCTTTGTTGACGCGCTTGGGTTTTCTCTAGTTGCGCGAGCGGGGTCTACTGTTTGTTGCGGTGCGCAGGCTTCTCATTGTGGTGGCTTCTATTGTTGTGCAGCACCGGCTCTAGGCACGTGGGCTTCAGTAGTTGTGGCTCGAGGGCTCTAGAGCGCAGGCTCAGTAGTTGTAGCACGTGGGCTTAGTTGCTCTGCGGCATGCGGGATCTTCCCAGACCAGGGCTCGAACCCGTGTCCTTTGCATTGGCAGGCAGCTTCTTAACCACTGTGCCACCAGGGAAGCCCCGGTATTTTTTTATAAAATTAAACTTCTTTGAGAAAATTATAGATTCACGTGTAGTTGTAGGAAATAACAGAGACAGAGCCCATGTACCCTTTATCCAGTTTCCACCAATATAACATCTTGTAAAACTGTAGTAAAAATATCACAAATAGGATAATGATATTGATATAGTTAAGATACAGAATATTTCCATGATTACAAGGTTATCTCATGTTGCCTTTTTACTGTTATACTCACATTTTTCCCACACCCAACCCCTCCTTAAATGTTAGGAACCAATAGTCTGTTCTCCATTGCTGTAATTTGGTCAACTCAAGAATATGGTATAAGTGGAATCATGTAGTATATATTGTTTGGGGTGGCTTTTTTCATCTACCATGATCCGCTGGAGATTGATCAGTATAGCAGTAATTTGTGCCTTTTCATTGCCGTGTTGTATTCCATGGTATGGATTTGTTTAACCATTCCTGTTGAAGGTTTTGGGGAGCAGTTATCAATAAGGATGCTATAAACATTTATGTATAGATTTTGTGTGTGTGTGTGTAGATGTAAGTTTTCATTTCTGTGGGATAAGAGAAGTGAAGCTGTTCAGTTAATGGTATTTGAAATAGAGAAGAGAGCATTATAGAAGCATTGAGAAAAGGTAAAAATGTTCCTTCTAGATTTTTCAGATAAATTTTCTCAGGGACTTCCCTGGCAGTCCAGTGGTTAAGACTCTGTGCTCCTAACGCGGGGAGCACATGTTTGATCCCTGGTTGGGGAACTAAGATCTCACATGCTGCACAGCACAGCCAATAAATAAATAAATAAATAAATAAATAAATAAATAAATATTCTCAGAGAAATTCACATTTGAGTTGGATACAAACGATTTTTAGCAGTCTTTCTTCAGATTTGTTCTCTACTCATAGTTATGACCTATTTCTCTTTCTGCTATCACAGGTGAGTTATTACACGAGGAAATTTCATGAGTGCTGTCTAGATTTCTCACCTAGCAGCATTTGAAATATTCTTCTTCCTAGGATTCTAGGACACCATACCTCCTAATTTATACCATCCGATTACTTTTAAGCCTGGCTGTTCCCTGGTTAAATGTGATGTTCGCTGGGATTCTGTTCTTTACATTCTTCTCCTTTTCTTGCCTCTTCTACCTCCCTTTTCTTTCTCTATCCTCCTGTATCCTCGTCTTCTAACATTTTTCCTGAAACTCCTTTCCCCCTTATTTCCCTCTGTACTTTATGCATACTGCTGGCACCTACAGGCAAAATAAGGCATTACAAACAATCTTGCAAACCAGTAAAGTTTCTCTGAGTTAAATTTTGATCTAATTAAAAGATTTTAATCTCATTGCAAGAAATCATTAGAAGAAAATTTTTCTCTTCACCTCAGATATTCCTCCAGCTACTGATCTATATCTTTCTCCTTACAAAGTCCTTTGAGTAAGCTTTCTGCAGTTGGTCTCTTAATCCCCTTCACTCATTTACCTCCCCATACACTAAAATGTGGTTTCTACTCAACGCTTGACTTAAATAATTTTTACCAAAATGACTTACTGTAATATTCCATAGAAAAATTTTTTTCCAATCCATATATTACTTCATCTCTCTATGACAGCAGGCAAAGATGAAATATGTCTGTAATTCTTTTCTATGGCACATACACTCTTGAGTTTCTTCTTATATCTCTGACTACTGCTTTTCTAAATACTTCTCAGTTTATCCTTCTTCCTTCTTCCCTTTAATTCCAATTCCAGGGCAATCACTTCAACACTTTAACACAATGAATATGCTGATGATTTTCAGAAACGATCTCCGGCTCAGATCTCTTTCCTGAGCTCCAAGCTCATATCACCCAACATTTGGTAAACATCTCCACTGAATTTCCCACCAAAATAATCACATCACAGCTGAATTCAATATCGTCACCCAAAAGCTTCCCAGAATGTTTCCCATGCAATGACACCATCCACTCAACAACTTAACCCACAACCCTGGCATCCTTAGGGATCCCCAATTTTCTTCTCAACTCAATTGATAATCAAATCTTCTCAAGTTTATCTTCTTTATGTATCATGCATCTGTCTTTTTATTTTTATTCAATCTGGAATTACCCTTATTCAGACCAGGATCATATTTTACATAGATTATTATAAAAACCTTCTAAATGGTGACTCTGACTCCAGGCTTCACTTGCTTCCATCCCCTGCTAACCTCCCCCCCCCAACACTTTCCAAGTTATTATTCACATTCTAGTCAGTAATATCTTTCTAGAGTACAAACTTAATTATGTTTCTTCACTGTTGAAAATTTTCCAACAATGCCCTTAATCTCTTTCCACTCTCTTTCTCACGCTCTAAGCTCCAAGCACAGTGAAATAACTTAGAGTTCCATTCATGTGCCATGTTCCCACATCTCTTTAGCTTCTATTGGAAAGATTTTCTCTTCCTACTCCAATTTTATCAATCTAATTTCATCAGGCTAATCTGTATCACCCATTGAAGTTTAAATTAGAGATCACTTTATCTGGAAAGACTTCACTGATCTCTCAAGAATAAGTTGGGTGTCCTTCATATATGACGTCCTACACTGGGTAACATTTAAACTATTGTGCTGCAGTTGCTTCCTTATTTTTGTTTCTCATGCTATATTGTGAGATTCATGAGATGAAGGCCCTTGTCTAATTTGCCACAAAGATCCCCAGCACGAAGAAATCACTCAATATTTACTTACTGAAAGAAATAAGTAATAATTGAACACATGAGAAAAAGTACAAATTTTCATTAAAAATACAAAAGTTCTAGCAAAAAAGTCTTGTTGAGGAGGCAGAGATGAGTCTGGGGATCATGATATGTTTGGGATTTGTGGGTCAGGGTACAGAGGAAAAAAGAGAAGAAAGAAACATGCAGAGGGT